CCATCGTTGTAATTGTGTATAAAACACCATTTCAAATTCTAATAAAAGCTTTCAGGCCAAAGAGGTCTCCTTAACTCAAAAAAAAAAAAAATATATATATATATATTTGTATAGTTAGACAAATCTTATACAATATATAAATTTAATTATAAAATTTTATAAATATAATTTATTTTTATTTGTATACATATTTATTATTTAGATCCAGTTCCAGTAAGTACTGAAACTGAACCAGTTCAGTCCAGTAGTGGTCCATCCAGTCCAGGAGCCAACACTGACTGTAATAGTTCAAATTTTAAATTATACGGGGTTTTAAACATTTTTACTTAGTAGGTTTTTATAATATAGCAATACTAATAATCACTAGTAGTGATAAATAGCAAACTTCTAAATTATATAATAATAATTACTATATTAGTTATTTGAATGTAATACAATAGTGCAATATAAATATTTAACAGGATTTACAGTATTTAGTTAATTACTATAAATGCTATAAATAAATACAGTGTCAACAATATATAAACACTATGAATGCGCACTCCAATTGGTCTCGCTTCTCGTTTTTTTTTTTTCGCTTTACTCACATCAAAAGAGAGTAGTAGTTAAAATAAAACAAACTTGAGTAAAAACTAGTCGTATAACAACAAATAGTGCACTCTCTTCGACAATACAAATCCAATATAAGTACTCTCAGGCGCATCTCGTCTGAGGTTTTAACCATAATTGAAACCGATGAGTAGTCAGTATAGTCGTTCAGTGATTCCGATCAAAATGGCGGATATAAGTATATTTGACCAATCATACGTGTGGCTTTTACTTTACTTTTTTCTTAACCTCGGTCTGACATTGTACAACAAGGCAGTGATGCAATTATTTGATTTCCCCTTTCCATGGACATTAACGGGAGTGCACGCATTGTGCGGTGCGATTGGCTCTTACACGTTTTATTGGCTAGGTATTTTTTCGCCGGCACGGCTAAGTGAGCGAGAGAGCATGGTGATGCTCTTATTTTCGGTTTTGTATACCATAAACATTGCTATTAGTAATGTATCTTTGTAAGTAAAAATTTTATTGAATTAATTACCTTTGCCCTGGTTATCCCACTTCAATCATAATGGGATTTAGAGCATATTTGAATTAATGAATTTTCATGGTATGAGTGAAAAGGAAAAAGGGACTTTACTCAGCTAATTTTATTCATATCACTTGTTTAATATGTGTACATATTATGCTGATAATTCAAAAAAGACATTTAGTTACAGTACCGGTAAGCTATTGTTTCTATTATCTCAAATTATTAAATGATATTTAGATTTTTTATTTTTTTTTTTCTTGATTGACCTTCAATAACTATTGTCATAAATACTGATCAAAGTTTTAAATCATAGTTTCATCAAGTTGTGCGAGCGATGACACCAATTTTTACGATCATACTTTCAATCACTTTTTTAAAAAAGCAATTCACGACCATGACATATATCTCTTTGCTACCGGTGAGAGATTATTGAATTAATTAAATTAAAATTAAAATTAAAAATTAATGATGTATTCCATAGGTTGTATTGGGTGTTGTATTTGCGACCGTAGGGGATTATTATTTCACTAAAATGGGTATTTAATATCTAACTTTTTATTTAAAGTAATTGTGATTTCTGATACTTAATTTATATATATATTTATGTATGTTTTATTAGGATTCTTTTTAACTGTCCTTGGTACAATATTGGCTGCTCTGAAGACTGTTGTCACAAACCGAGTTCAAGTTGGTCGGCTTAAGCTTCATCCCTTAGATCTATTACTACGCATGTCTCCCTTAGCATTCGTCCAAACTGTGATCTATGCTTATGTTACAGGGGAATTGCAGCGAGTTCGTGCCTTCAGTCGGACGGAAATGACTACATCTTTGGTTTTTGCTCTTATTACGAATGGTGTTATCGCCTTCTTTCTTAATGTTGTAAGTTTCACAGCAAATAAAAAGACATCAGCTTTAACTATGACTGTCGCCGGCAATGTAAAACAAGTGCTATCTATTATTCTGGCTGTAATGATATTTAATTTAACAATAACGCCGACAAATGGCCTTGGAATTTTTCTTACTTTGTTGGGAGGTTGGTTTTTTTTCTATTTTTGTATGATTTTATTTCAATAATTAATAATTAATTCGTATGTCATTATTGTTAAATCGATATGATATAGGCGCATGGTATGCGTAAGTATTGACATCGTACAAATGGTTGCTATGTTGAAAGTCTTAATGTACATATGTTTTTTTTTTGAAACCAATAGTAAAATCGAATTGTCTGAACGTAATCGTGCAGCAGTCCGAGTCCTAACCGAGAAGCCACCCTTGGGCTAATTATATATTGCAAATATATGATTATATATATAAAAAGAAGTCAATCAAAGAGTTTCCCTCTTGCTTTCTCTCTTTGTATATTCCCCACTGAAGCGAGATATTATCTTTCTATCTACTTCGATTGCAATTTTTTCATGGGCATAATTGTATTAATACGCCTTTACAATATGCCTTCATTAATTTGGATACAACATTAATCGCGTTTTATAATATTTGTTTAATCGTGTTGTCTGTGAGGAATGAGACAAGTTTTTTAAAATTTTTTAGACTTCACATCGCGCGGAAATTCCGAGTTTAGATATATATACTTTTATTTTCATTGTTCTATTTTTCCTGATAAGCGGTATACCTAATGTTGATAAAATGGCTAAATATGTGAAATACAGGCTAATAAGCTTCATGTTTAATATAGACATTTATGGTTGGTTCAATTTTCCGATTGATTTGGAAGATTATCTATATTTATGCATATACCTGTATATTGTAAATTTGACTTTACTAATTTAGTAACTATCTTTTCTTTTTAAAGATTATATTTACATTGTCATTTATTTATATTTTTAACGTTTTTTAGTCACTGGTAATTCCGCTATAGTAATTGAATGCCAATTCTAGCGGAAGATTAAATGTGAGTTTGTTGTTTTCTTTTTTTTTTTTTTTTGGCATGGTAGCATTATTATCACTATATGAACCAACCTGCTACTTGTGCATTATAATATCGATTTTATTATCGATATTATCGACCTGTTAACCAATAATCATAATTTTGTATGATCAGTATACTCGATACATAAAGTTGTATTAGTTGTAAATGACCTAACGTTAATGAGCCCTGATTCTACGCCTGAATAGATCATTAGTTTTAAATATATTTATATATCATAATTATTTTTTGACTCCAAATGAAATATTTGCAGATGCTCATTCGACTCGCTTATACAAAATTGGTTAACAAAAGCAAATGCCCCGAATTTTCCCGGTATCAATGCTTGTACCTGACCTTATCAATTTTCCCTATATGTGGCCAAGATAAAAAAATTGGCTGAGTGTTGTGATTATTTAGTGGTTATTACGACTACGGGATTAAGTACTGTATGTTCTCAAGCATTTTCAAACGAATAACAATCGAGCCATCACAGCTAATAACGATCTTTATTAAATTAAAAGCTTGAGTATGCATTGTAATTTTAATACCATTTAAAAACAACAATTTTGCTATTTTTTAACTAGCTACCAACTTTAGTACAGTGCCGGACAGCAAAAAATATCCACTTTTTATGTATAAAATTATAAGGGAAATTCTCAAAAATTATTGGTAACACGAAATTTTGACCAATAGAATTAACTGCACATAATGTAGATTACTACTTTAAATGAAGATATCTAGATATCTCGACAACCGCCAAACAATATTTGATGAATTGTTTTTTTATTTTGATTCTACAATTTCGTAGAATCAAAATAAAAAAAAATTTCATAGAATCTAGTTTGTTAATTGTGGTAGTTGTCAATAGTGATGCGAACGGCTAAGGCTAAGCCGCAAGCCGATCGGCTAAGCTGAGCCGATTATCGGCTTGGCTAAGGGTCTACTAATAAAATATCGGCTCTAGAAATGGCTTGGCTAAAGACCTGAAGCCGAACATAGCCGAACATGGAGCCGCGAGCCGATGGGTCAATAGCACATGACAATTAGCCAATAGTAGATCATTTAGTATCGTGACTAAATTATGCACGTTTAAACCTTTTACATGTAAAAAATATTATGACCTACTTTTGGCCAACACTGGATTGTTCACACTTTCTTTCTTGTAGTTTGTTTTATTTTTAAAAAAAAATTATTTTATTTATATAATTAATAGACAGCAAGACTCTAAATAAATTAAATGTTAGCATTCTGTCTAAGTAATAAAAAATGATAAAGTTCGCATGACAGTATATTTAAGCTATTTCACACTTTATAACATCGCTTATATGTATTTCATTTATTGAATAATAAGTTTAACAAGAAATTTGTAAAAAAAAAATTCTTGTATAGAAAAGCTAATTTTTGTGAAATCATATTACCATTAGATGGCTCGGCTCAGCTTGAGGTTAATCAGCTTATAAGTGGTTTGGCTCTGGTTGCAGAGCCGAAGGATCAGCTCAGCGTAGTAAATGTTAGCCGTGAGCCAAGCCGAGCTGAGCCATTCGCATCACTAGTTGTCAAGATATCTTTATAGATTCTATATATACTGAATTTGTTTCATCTTTATTAAGATAGTTTTGCATATTTTCATGATTTCTAAGTACCAAATTATGTTTAAAATAATCTGTTTTGCTAAATTTCCTTTTTCTATCAAACAGAAGTAGCAAGAAAGATTTGGTTGTGCTGATTTATAAGTCAGACAAAATGTTGCAGCTTCTAACCAATCTGTGATTATTGTTAAAAGGTTTGGAAAGAACTAGACAAATTTGTTATTAATTAACAAACTTGTACTAGAATGCTTAAGTTTTTGAATAGGATTTAATATAATTTCTAAACATTTATAAAAAGTTTGTCTGTCTATTAGTTTATTAGCAGACTTTTTGATTATTGGCAAATATCTAATAATTACTTTGCATCTTGCTTATTTTTTTACTATATAAGTATATTTTCTAGTGATATATAAATTGGATGAAGCTAACTTTTACTCAAATTGTCACAATTTGTAATATCTAAATAGAATATGATTGACAAATAATTTTTTTTTATCATTTTTTAAAAAAATAAAAATAAATTAATAAAAAACAATAATAATTGTATTTATAAATAATATTAAAAGTAAAATATATCTTAGTAGTTTTATATAATTCTTTATAATCATATTTTAAATTTAAAGCTATATTAGGAATTTTTAATATATTTTTGATATAGCTTATTATATTTATGTAATATAAGAAATACTTAGTACTGTATTATTTTATTAAAATCAATACTTTTGTTTTCTTATATAGCAAGTTTGATTTAATATTATTTATAAATCTTTGTTTTGTTTAATATTTTTTGCTTCTAGATTTAAATGCTTATTAAAAAATAAAATAATAGCATTTCTAGCAATATTACTAAGCTTATATATTTAATAACCAAAACTATTAAATTAATATAAGCTTTATTAAAAAATTTATCATGTTTCTAATCAAAATTACAGTATTATTTGAAGAAGAGTTTTGAATTTCTTTAGTGAAAGCTGAATCATTTAAAAGTTTATTAGAAAATTCCTAATATTTATACAAACTGCTTTTAAGTCTGTTAAGTAAATTATCAGTTGAATTATTGTTATTTGATTTAATTCAAATAACTATCAGAATAATCATTATTATCTGGCAGCTTACTATGATTTGTCTGCCCAATAATTTTATTATTGGGCAGAAAAAAAGTTTAAAATAGTTTAAACTATTATCCCTGCCTAATAATTTTATTATTGGGCAGAAAATCATAGTAAGCCACTGAATAAAACCATTATCAGGCATGCTGATACTGCCTTATAACTTATTTATTTAGTCAAGGATTTAAGATCAGCCTAAAAAATTGAATTCCTTCGGAATTCAATTTCTTAGTCTAATCTTAAAATCCTCGACCAAATAAACCAGTTATTAGGCAGTGCCTGCCTGATAACTATTAAGTATTAGTTATACCTGAAAAACCAGCATTAGTACTATCTAAATCTATATTAGAATTGAATTTATTATCTTTAACTACTTTTAAAATACTACAAAACTTAATATTTTTAAATAAAATCTTTTTAATGGAAAAATCACAATTAATTTCAATATCTTTAATATTATTATATTTTTTTTGTTTTGACTTAGATTGTTTTGAAATCTTGCAAACTTGAGCAGGTTTTTTCACAACTATAGAATCAACTTCAGTAGTATTAATATATATATTCATATATTAAGATAATCTTTTGCAGTTTGCAAAAATATGTAAGCAAAATAAGTATTTAAATTCAGATATTTTTAAGAGATAAATTTTTATAAGTTTAAAATATTTTAAAAATTTTAAGATTTAAGAATATAAAAAATAATTTTTTTTTTTTTTTTTAAAATTCAGCAGTCTTGTCTCTACTTTATTAGACTTTATCCCTTAAACCATATTCCAGGCAAATTTGTCTGGAAAATTGAAAAGTATTTACAAATTTTTAAATAAAATTAAAAATTATTAATAATAT